GTATTGACAGTAGCCACCTGCTGCCTGTCATGTGCATGGAGCAGCTTGAATATCTTATGTCATTCTTGGCTGCTCCATCACCTTCCCATTTTTGTCAATTTTGAGTAGCAGCCCACAAGTTAGTGGGCATCTTCCTTTGGATGGGTTTGGGCATCCATACCAATCTAGGACCATTTGTATTTGAGCTGATGGGTCTGTAGCCACTCGAATTTTTGTAATCAACAGAAGTGGCTGTATATTTATGAACATCGTTCCTTGTGTGGGGGTGGGAAGGAATATGAGCATTAGGAGTGATCAGCCTTTTCTGTGGAATGTAGTTGGTCCTCTTGATTGGTTGTCAACCAAGTCTTTGATTTGGTTGGTTATTGTGGAAGTTGGGTTGGTAAGGAAGTTTGGTTTTGGATCTGGGAGAGGACCGATTCCTTTTATTTGACAGAGTTTAGGAGTGGGAATTTTGTTGGTTTGGTTTTCTTGTTTCTTGTAGATCTGTGGTGGGTTTTGTGATAGGAGAGCATTTGAGAGAGTCTTTCAATGATTGGGATAAAGGTGTGTGTCCTGATCCCGTGTTCTTCCAGTTTTGAACTTCCTCAACAATAGGGGTAGTGAGGGAGCTCAGCCTTTCTTTTAATATGATGTTTTCGACTTCAAGAATATTTTACATTTTAATCACTTCACCCATTTGAGCTTGGGCTATAATCAAATTTTCTTAAAGCCTACAATTCTCGTTTATTAAAAGAAGGTGATCCTTTTGAAATTTTTCAAGTTGATGGAGTAGAGCTTCCATATCAACACTGGAACAACTAGAATCATATGAGCTACTTGAGGAACAAGATAATACCTCATCATTGTCATTTTCATTCAATCTGGCCATAGGACAGTTGTGGGAAGAGCTATCATCTCGGTGCATTCAAAAGAGGCAAATCAGAGCCTCTTTCTTACTTTCTGATGAGCTGCCTTCATCACTTGTACTGCTTTGATCATCTTCTGATTGGGTCATTGTGAGTTCATCCCATATATCCTTGATTTTCCCGTCATCACACTTGTTCTGATTTAATAATAGATTCTTTGTACGTTGCCTGTCCATTCTTAGAAAGTGTTTGGGAAGAATAGTGGTTTGGGATCTTTAGTTCAAAATAGTCAGTAAATGACTCTAGGAACACTCCTCTCTGATACCACTTGATGGTCCCTGATAGAGGTAAAAGTCTAGGGGGAGGGGGGGGGGGGTGAATAGACTTTTAAAGCTTTTTCAACTTTAAAACGTTTCTCCCTCTAAAGAGTTGATCTATAATCTTTTGGGAGATTTGTAGATGCACAACGGAAGTCTTTAACCGCTTAGATAAATAGTGTATAACACTTTCTTTGATGGATGAAGTTTGGGATGTATAAGGTGAGTAGTTGGCTTGGCAGTTGGCTAGAAAGCAGGGAACTGCTGAGGCAACTGCTAGTGAAATACTCAGTGTATGATGACACTGCACTCAGAATCTTTCTCAGAGTGGGAAGAGCTTTCTGATGATATAATAGAGTATATTGATAATCAACCTTTAATGAGAGCAGTGGTCTCAGCAGTTGGGTGGTAACCAAAGAACTGTTGAGACACCTGCTTAAATAAAAGTGAAGGTATGGAAGATTGATTATATGGTGTTGCTCAGGATGATGTGGGCTTTCTGAAGATGTGCATTAGTCCAAGTAAGTGGGAGCTTTACTGGAGTAGTGGTCTCATCAGTTGGGTGATAGTGAGGGGACTGCTGAGGCACCTGCTGACTTATCACTTTGAATTACAGTGATCAGTTTGAACAGACTTCTTGGAGATAGAGTTGTGAAGGTCTGGTGAAGTTGAGATGTTCAAAGGAAACACTTTTGCATGAGCAGTGGGCTTAGCAGTTGGGTAGTCACCAGGGGACTGCTAAGGCAACTGTTATGCCTTAAGTAGGATTTCCTGAAATCTAATGGAACAGACCTTATAGTTGTGATATTGTAAAGCTCTTGTATTTCAAAGAAAGTGAGTTATTAAGCAGTATGATAAGCAGTATGGTGAAATTAAGACTACTGCTTAGGATACTGCTGGCAAACTACAATCTTTTATGAGAAGTGTTTAGTGTGTGCTTTGTTGACAGAAAATAAATCAACACATAGTATATCCTGGTTCAGAGGTGGTGTAATCCTCCTACATCCAGTCTCATCCTATTTCAAATGGATTTCACTAATGCATGAAGCCCAATACACTTAGTGCCAATCTAGCCTTGACCACTCTGACCTAGATTGAAGGTGTTTCACGAGGAGTACAACACCACTCCAAGCTACTCAATCCTTTAGGTTTTTCTCAATTGATCAAGTGGAGATCAAAAGGTACTCCTGACCCATCTAACCACACTCAGGCCGGGAACAACTGTCCTCCTGAAGTGTTTACAACAATATCTGATTTGGTTATAAGAAAGTTCTAACCTCCAACTAGGAACTAAACTTCTAGGATTTTAGCAATGAACACTTGATACTAAGAAGTTTAGTGAAGCAAGAGTCTAAGTAGAGAGTCGTGGATAGAATACCACTTTTTCTTTTGCTAGATATTCCGTGAATGCTCAATAGAAATATCTCTCTACTTAGGATGCTCAAGTTTCATTAGAAAACTTTCGTTTCAGCCTATATTTATAGGCTTCTCTAGTTGATTAATCTCATCTGTTGGTTAGGATGGATTAATCCTGTTCGTTGAAGGTTGACACGGACGACTTGTACATTCGTCTTCTTGTGCTGGTGCTTTTAATGCGGTTGTCTTCAATAATCTTTTAGCCGCTGGAACATCTCTTCAAAATGATCTCATATGTGTGTCTTCAATGCTCAGGGCCCCAGTACAAATTTAGGATTCAATGTTAGTCAAATTTTGTCTTCAATCATATACATTCAATGTATATGTTTTTCGAGCTTCTTTTCGTCAAAACATGTGACATTTAATTAATCTTTGAGCTAAATAATATATGCCGGTAGAATCTAAATATCCTATTAAGGTAAATAAAAATTACCTTATTGCATTTTTACTTTTCCGGTAATATTTCTTTAGTCTCAAAAATTGTACATTTATTTTTGTCACTCAAATTTAAATGCTATTTTATAAGACACAATGTACACGTGCAAAGTATAGTGACATCATCAAAATCTATCAAAATTGGGTACTAACAGAATGTGATATAGTCTCAGTGAATATCTTCTTAAAGAAGGATACAAAAAATGACCCAATTAGTCCACATGTTTTCATTCGGGGATCAAATTCAGGGTTCATCATAATCGTAGTATATATATGTTGATGACTTAAACATTATTAGAACTCCTGATAAAATTGAAATTAGTGCAAAATATCTTATGAAAGAATTTGAAATGAAAGATCTTGAGAGAAGCAAATTTTGTCTCGGAGTTCAAATTGAGCATTTGAAGAATGGAATTTTCATTCATCAATCCAATTACACCGAGAAAGTTTTGAAGCGGTTCTACATGGACAAAGCTCATCCGTTGACTTAACCAATGGTGATTCGATCTCTCAACATACACGATGATCCATTCTGTCCCCGAGAAGACAACGAAGAAATACTCAGTCCCGAAGTACCATACCTGAGTGCTATTGGAGCTTTAATGTTTTAGCTAATAATACTAGACCATATGTAGCATTTTTTATAAATTTATTAGCTAGATACAGCTCATGTCCAACAAGATGTCATTGGAACGAGATCAATGCCATATTCCGTTATCTTCGCGGTATAGCTGATTTTGACTTATTCTACCACACAGATGCAAAAGCTGCTTTAATCGGATATGCAGACGCTAGATACTTATTAGATCCTCAAAAGGCCAATCACAAACCGGGTACGTATTTACTTATGGTAATACGTAATCTCATGGAGATCTATGACGCAAACATTTACTGCTATATCACCAAATCATTCTGAGTTAATTGCACTATATGAAACCAGAAGAGAAAGTGTGTGGTTGCGATCTATGATTCAACACATCCAAAATGAATGCGGTATGAAGCCTATTACTTTTCACCCTACTGTGATCTACGAAGACAATACTGCGTGCATAGCTTAGATTAAAGAAGGCCACATCAAAGGAGATATAACAAACACATATCACCAAAATTCTTTTCTACTCACGATCTAGAGAAAGAAGGGGAAGAACAACATTCAACAAATCAGATCCAGTGAAAATCCAGCCGATCTCTTCACTAAATCTTTACCGCCGAAGAAGTTTATAGAACTCGTACAAAAAATTGAAATGCAGGGCCTTCAAAATTTTTGTTAATTTCAAGGGAGTATTTGAATGCACTGCACTCTTTTTTCCTTCGTCTAGTTTTTATCTCACCAACTTTTTTGTGATAATGTTTTTAATGAGACAGCACATTCAAATACAACGACATTATAAGTAGTAATCTTTACCACTTCATTTTCACACTAATTTTTCATAATAAGTTTTTAACATAATGAATGCCTATTGAAGGATGAACATTCAAAGGGGGGGTGTTGTAAAATCTAGAAAATGACAAGTGTGAATTGTTCATTCCCGTCGTTAGGACATCAAGCTATTCTCGATCCTTGTAATAATCCTTGTAACCTAGTTAGAACAAATGACTCAATTTGTTTTTGCCACCAAATCTGTAGAGTCATCCTTTAGATGACTAATCATCAAACTCAAACACTATAAATAAGAGCTTGATGAAGCCCTATAATTTGAGATTAAGAAGAAGTAATTTAGAGATTATTATAAATATATCTATCTCATAAATATAGTCTCCATCGTTTTCTTTTCACAACGGAATTCATATTACTCCCTACGTCTCATTTAAATCTTCACTTTCTTTTTTTGGGACGTCTTATTTACTTTTTTACGTTTCCTTTTTAGACAATTCTTTTTACATTAAATGTCCTAATCACCCTTCACTACCTACCCATTTTTTAGATTTGATTGGATAACATTAATTAAGCTAGTAACATTAATCCATGAATATTAATTTTCATTTTCCGGCGCCGTTTTTTACTTTGTTCAGTGTCCTCCCGGTGAGCCCCCGTCCTTGCCTGTGTGTAGTCCGTAAAGTCAAAATTCACCGAAACTTGAGTCCCGAATATACTTTACTTGACTCCGTTTCACCATCGCCCAGTTCTCTTTTGCTGGAAAAGGCAAAGAGCAACGGTTACATGCGTCAAATGCCTTGCAAATCGGTATCCTGAAATTCTTCAAATCAGAGGAAAATATCTTCGAACCTCAGAAGCTTGTTCAGGAAACACCGGTTAAACCTTTCGATATGATTAATATTGCTTAAAGGTAATCGGTGGTCCGTGAATGCTATAAGACTATAATGGCGATTTCCCACCAGCTCACCAGCGCCCTGTACATCTGCTACGCCAGAGGGGATTCCGGGAGGGGCCATTGCTACAATGCCGTGCCCGTCAGTCTCAGTTTCGGCCTTAAGAGGCATTTGACGGTATTGAGTAGCAGGAGGCCATTGGCCACTGACCTCAGTGTAGGCGTTGCTGAAACCGCCGCCACCAACATGACTGACTGCGATGCTTCTCCATCCATGCTCGTCCCCTCCATCGAAATTCCAGTCACTTGCTATCAGGTCTCCCCTGCATATATTTCTTCTATATTTTTATTTGTATATATTAGTTTGTGAGAGGAGAAAGAAATAAAGTGAACCACAAATTAAGATAGACAAAGTTATAGGCACGGATGAACATATTAAATTTCAGAATTGAAATTACAGTTTCTTGGAGAGAATAAAAGAAGAAGACATGTATCGGAATAGAAGAAGTAGGGAGATTACAGAATGAACAGTTCATAGTATCTGGAACAATGAAATATTACAAATATATACTATTAATAAAGTAATTGCTATTAGGTCCTTAAGTTTCTTGAGTGTTGTTATTTTTGACCCCTTGATACCCTTCAAGATGAGCTTGAATGTCCTTTATGTTCAACTCGTCAGTGAATTCTTCAAAGAGTGGACCGGAGAGATACAAATGATAGAGTCCATTATATATTTTAGGCATAACCGATGATTTTCTGGGTATAGTTGTCCTGCTGCAAAGCACCATGATTTGAAGGGAAAATAACTTGTAAACGTCACGTAGTGATAAGCTTGAAACAGAAGTTAGATTGAAAGTAAAATTAGGAACACAAAGAACAAGGTTAAATCATTATTGATTTTAATGTTTCCAAATGAGTAGCAATAGTGACATTATCCAGTGTAGAATATGTAGTGCGAACGTAAAAGTCCTGTGCCGCAAATTTTATCATTTGCAAATGAGTTTCTGGTGGGGATAGAATATATGGCACTGTTTTACATTGCTAGTAGTTTGATGCATTTTTTTCTTGCTGATGAACCATGCGGACACGCAGTTGCTATTTAGTAATCCCTCTGTCCCATTTTAAATGTCCTACTCGTATAACAAGGCTAGACTAATTGTATTATCATTCCAGATTTTTTAATATTTAATTTAATACGAGTAGAATATTAGATAAGAGCACGTATGGAAAAAGTGCATCAAAAGTTATAACTAAGTACTGACACAATTACATGATTATAAAAATAGAAGAACATTAAAGAAAAAAACTTTAAATAAGCATTGAAATGCAACTATAAGTTTCATGAAATCATGTATCGAGAATATATTATTCATGTTTCTTCAAATAGGATTTTGAGATCAACATGTGCTGGCTCAATTGATTTAGGGATCCATGTAGCTCTCAGCCCATGTTTTTTAATCCATCATTCCCTCCTTGAAGCCCATAATGCTTTGATCATTTAAATTAATCTTATTTTATTGGACTTATCTACACCTACCGGGGAAAAGTGTTTCTTTAGATATACTCAAATTGCAGTCAGTCGTTTTTTTCTGACTTGAAAAAGTATATATTTACAAACAATAGATGAGAAACTCTAGATGATGAACACAAGTTAGTTTGGAGGTAATATTGTTTAGATGTAGGATGATTTTTTTGACAGAAAAAACATTTTCAAGTCTGATAATTTTGCATTTTTTCCCATTGACACCCTAACTTCTGATCACCTAAGCATGCTAGATACAAGCTAAAGCCCTTAATTGTTTGCATTAACGTTAGCACATAAAATCATAAGCATTTGACTGTCACATATCAATGTCACCCCCAAAGCCCACCATCCTTCGCCTTCCACCAATAGAACCCAGTAGTCCTCACAATAAAGTAAAGTTTTTTGGGTTTTGATGTGATTTTTTGGGCTTCTGACATAGATGACATATGCATGAGCTAAACTGCGTGCGACGTCATGCACTAATAAAAAGTTAGAGGCAGATGCACAAGGATGGGGTCGTTTTGGTTTAAGTTTGTCAATGACGTTGTCAATAACCTCAATTACATGTTAAGGAGCTTAGAAGGGTTAAAAACATACTGCAGGGACTTAAAAATGTCTTTCACATATGACTATGAAAGATGGATGGAACTTAACAATGAGATCATTGTGGTTTTATGCCAACAACTGATCATATTATGCATGCCTATAGCTTGATTGAAGCCTAGATCATTAACATTTATATAAGCTCTTTCTCTATGTGTTATTAAGTCCTGGAGTTCCATCCTAAAAGGTCAACCTGATAGGAGAAGTAGTCCAATACTTTATATGTTGGTTTGTATTTTTATACGCAACCAATGTGTGATAGTTTAATACGCCCCCACAAGATAGTGGCTCGTTGGAGCAAACTAATCTTGTATTTCATGTGTTCATGGTTGAGGCTTATCAGGATTGAATTGCTCGTTGGAGCTTATTTAGTTTTGATATCATATTAAGTCTTGTGAAGTTGCGATGGATTAATATGTGTGTATGTGTGTGCTATGTGTGTATGTGTGTGCTGCTTAAAGTTAATGATAAAAATCTCAAGAGTTAAGCAGCTAGCAATACGATGGTTTCAAGTATATAGCTTCTTAAGACTTTAAGAGCATGTTGCTTTGCTAAACACTTGGTAATCATAAATGTGCTCTCCTTATGGATTTTGAAGTTCCTACAATTTGTTGTTTGATTTGTAAATAAATGACATTCATTTGGTATTGTGTAGTCCTCTGTATTTGCGTTGATGCATTTCAAAGGGGCAAGGAAATCCCATATTACTTTAAGAGTGGGTAAGGAGGTGTGTGAGTTAGTGAATGGGCACACACTTTTTCCCGTAGTGATTAATAATCTGCAGTTCAATTGTAGGCGTTCATAAACAATCATAGAAATGGTACATAAGCAACTATACAAATTAGAATACTAATTTTCAATACTTCTATTTGTCTATGCGATTAACTCCAAATGAACCAATTTAGTGCAATCCTGTAATCCTGCGTGGAGTTCTCATAAATGAACACACTGATTGTTTTGATAGAATACACATTGATCGACTCACTGTATTCATGACTCTATTCATGAATGAATCGATTGTTCAATACTTATCTTTGTCTTAGTTGTTAGCTCCAACTTAATGAATTTAGAGCAATCCAGTTTGATCTCAATTGTCAACTGTTACACTGAAATCTACAATTTGTACTTTCTATTTTTAATTAGTTCCTGCTACTGAGTGAAAGTGGCTTACAGTTGCATCAACTAATTTGTTGTCTTGAAAAGTACACTTTGATTATTCGAAGACTTTTGAGCCAAGAGGCGGAAAATCCTTGGTTAGAAAGTTTTCTTATCTTCTTGCAATACAAACTTACAGATTCTTGGTGTCTCTGATAAAGCGGAGAAGGATGAGATTGTCAAGTCGGTGATACATTTGAAAAATGCTGATGTTGAAGAGGGGTACACTATGGATGCTGTTATTTCTCGCCAGGTAGTAATCTGATTCTGGTGGATTTGATAGGTATCAGGAAATTTACCTAACTTTTAAGTTCCTTTTCTTCTTTGCTTTCCCCTTAGTCATGATTAATATGAATTTACTCTTCACTCTCAGAACCTTTTGATGGATGTGAGAGATAAGCTTCTTTTTGAGCCAGAATATGCTGGAAACGTAAAAGGCAAGGTCATGCCAAGGTCTTCTATTCGAATATCATGGGCTTGGTTGCCAGGAGCTCTTTGCTTACTTCAAGAGGTTATCTTCAAAAAACATTTCATTTGGAAGCTTTTACCTGAAATACGGTTGAGGAATATAGAATAGGACTGTAACCTGATTAAATTGGTTAATCTCCCCAATTTTTTGCTCTTTTAATTCACATTGTTCATTAATATTTGCACATATTTTATAAGTATTGTGCTTCTGTAATGTTAATAAATAATAATTCCACTTTTGATCCTACGAGTATTATGTCAATTTCACATTTGGTCCACGTCATTGACTTTTCTCACTTTTTGTTACATGTCTACTGTTTCTTCTCGTGGTCCTTCCATCGATACTTCTGGCGCTTAAAATCGCCAAAGAAGTGTTGGAAATTTGGCCGGAAGGACCATTGATGAGCAAGAAAAGTAAGAAACAACAATCATGTACCAAAAGTGGGTGAATAGAAAAATCTGGAACAAATGTGGGATTGACATAATATTCATAGGACCAAAAGTGAAATTAATTCTTGTAAAAACAGCCTTAATTTGGTAAAAGATATTATTATCAACTTAAGACTTTTCACTGTGAATATGAGATATACTGAAATTCATTTTTCCTTTCAGGTAGGGGAAGAGAAGCTTGTGCTAGATATCGGACGAAGAGCCCTCAAACATCCAGATTCGAAGCATTACGTACACGATTTGCTTTTGTCCATGGCGCTGGCTGAGGTAAGGTTCAAAAGCAAAGATATTAGAACTATGCTCAGATGCTGCCTTCTCGTGGCAGTTTTGTTATTCTTCCCCTTCTTATTATAGGTGCTTTCTTGAAGTGTGCAATTGCAAAACTTTGCTTTGAGAAGAACAATATTTCACAAGGTTTTGAAGCTCTTGCTCGTGCTCAGTGTCTTCTTAGGAGCAATGTTTCTCTTGGGAAGTTGACATTGTTGTCTCAGGTATAGTTCTTGGAATTGCAATTGCCTCCTTAATGTGTGTGCCACATAACATTCAGTTTGATTAGCCTGTCATCCATGCCCAAACTACATCAGATTATCACTTGACTCACTTTTAATTTATCATGAATACACACCAAAACTACGATTTGAAAAAATGCTATTTAGGGTGTGAAATTAGGACCTCATCAACCCCTGGTATTCCACAAACCAGAAAAGTGGATTAGTCTGTAGGACTTCTTGGGACTGTATTTGAAGAAAGAGAGGATAACAAGAGAGCTTAAGTGGAATTATTTGGTGCTCGACTCACTGGAGACGCACAAAAGTTAATTCTCCAAAATTATTTTATTATATCAACTATAGGCCCTTAGTCTAAAAATATCAACTATAGGCCCTTATATAGCGCTATTACATGGAGAACTAAATAAAAGACCGAACTTATAACTGCAAGGCTAATATGATCAAGTAATAAAAGACATTCAAAACCTGAATTGGAAAATGAGCATAACCTTCTTGCGGCCCAAACTAGCCCCTTTCCGCAAGCCCTTGTCCTGCCTCAGGCTCTCGTCCAACCCGAACTGCATAGTTGATAAGACTGTCCCCAGAATGCTTACTTATTATCACGAGCTTGTCCTCAAGTTTGAATGTGAGATTGTGAGATAACTCTTCCAAAACACCTTTGACTCCCTTGAAGCTTCCTCTTCCTATTAGAGCTTCTAATAGACTAACCATTCCAGCTGGCTATGATTTAATCAATTGCAGAACACTCCAACAGGTTTAACACAGGTGGTCTTTCCATATTAGGTGGCAAGTGCCCCCATCAAGTCTGGTAGAGATCCCTTGTGCGGTGACTTGAGAAGCTAGACATGTGATACTTTGTATATACGACTACCTGGTGGCAACTGGATGTCTGGAATTTATATTCGATCTCCTTCACACAAGTCTGCACTTCAAATGGCCGTCTAATTCCGGTAGAAGTTTATGGTGGTGCTTCACAAGAGAGAACTGAGGACATGGGTGCATCTGGAGCCACATGTGATTATGTGAACTGCCTCACATTGTTTGTGTGTAAAAATCTTTACTTGCATGCGCACCCGCGTTCTGCATGTCCCTGTCAACAAGTCTTGAAGTGACACCTCCATGTCGTTGTCTGAACTAATTTTGCGAATTCGCCTTCAGGATTAGCGCTGCATGGCAGACCAAGGCGTTTGAAGCATTTAAGTAAACTTCCATCTACATAAGTCCTGTTCCTGCTGCATGTAATTGATCAGCCCATTGGGCGGTCTTGATCACGTGGAAAATCACCAGACTGACCCATAAATGCGGTGATGTTCGCTGTTTAAAAAAACATTCACTATGGTTGAGCCATGGTAGTGGGTCGCTTTTACCTTTAAATTGTGAACTTGGAAAATCTTGGAACCACGGAGTCTTTGTTTTCCCTTTGGTGCCATTCCGTGTGTTTGCGATGGACAAACCCAGGTGTATACCAGGATGATCCTGTCATTTGATGCATTCAAGGCTTAAGACACGCAACAGATTTTTAAGTTTGGTTTGTTGATCCTTGACGTCAATTTGTCCCTGATTGATGCATTCAATCATGTTTCTCAGGGACTCCATTGCGCCTGCTGATAAAAAAATGTTTAGGATGGTAGAGCAGGACCTCTCGTTCACTCCCGGGACTGTACAAACACAAGAGAGGAATAGCTTTTAGGACATTTTTGGGTCTATATTTGAAAATAGAGAGAAGAATGAAAAATATCAAGTGGGATTTATGTGGTGCTCAACCTAGTCAAGAGACAAGGACTAATTCTCCAGAAGTTTTGATTGCATCAACTATAAGCCCCCTTATAAAACATATAACTGCTATACTTGTATGATTTCCAAATAAGACATTCTGAACTAGAATTGGAAATTAAGCATTACAATCTTGCAACCCAGGCTAGCCACTCTTGTCTCTAGGAGTAGAATTTGGCTGAGTTGGGGTTTTTATTGAACAAAAAAAGTGTGATGGATATCAGGTTATATTATTTTGGGAGCAAAACAAGACCCAAAAAGTGGAGCCACCTGGAAAAAAACTGCCCTATTTTTTTAACGTTTACATCCCTTATTCAAACATACGTTTAGAAGTACAACTAATAAACAACCTGTCATATAATAATCATCAAATTCATCAACAATCATTACAAATCATTAAATTCATCCTGCACAAGTGCAACTTATTTATGTTTTACACAGTTATACAATATATCATATATATATTTTAAAGGACTTGAGTATTTTTTTGGTCTGGTTCTTAATTTTTTTTTTGCCAGCTCAAGGACAGAACAAATCAAGTTCAGGTAGGTTACTAAACCTGGACCACTCAGAAAACAATTAAACCGGACCACTAATGATATTAGGTCCAGGTAGGATAGGATCTCAGGTTTTAGGTTGAGTTATCCCACCCCTGCTTGTATTGTTTTTGGATGGCATCATTGATATGACAGCCTGTATAATGCGTCCATATCAAAATCATTTCAAAATGTAAGCTGTGCTGTAAGTTTGCTGAAAGATATGAATACAACTGTGGGCAATATCTAATGCTCTTTTTGGATGGTTCTCATCATATTCCACATTTTATGTTGACTTTATGTGCATAGTAATTGCTCTTAAAAATGATGTTAGATAGAGGAATCCTTGGAAGAGTTTGCACCAGCTTGCACTTTGGAATTACTGGGTATGCCTCACAGACCTGAAAATGCAGAACGAAGATCGGGAGCCATTTCTGCCTTCCGTGAGTTACTTAGACAGGGCCTTGATGTTGAATCTCCATGCCAAGTTCAAGATTGGCCATGCTTTCTAAATAAAGCTTTGAGTAGGCTCATGGCGTCTGAGATAGTTGAACTTCTTCAGTGGGACAATTTGGCTCTTACAAGAAAGAACAAGAAGTCACTTGAGTCACAAAACCAAAGAGTTGTAATTGATTTTAATGGGTTCTATGTGATTCTAATGGCTCATATTGCCCTTGGCTTTTCCAGCAAGCAAGCTGATCTGGTAAAGATATTTCCAGCCTTGAAGTTCTAATTCAGCTAGTTTAGTTAATTATATTTACAGTTGCATCACAGTGTATGAAGCTTCTATTACAAGGAAATGTAGACTCTTATGTCAAATTTAAAAGGTTGTACTGCTGTAATAGTTTGGTTTATTAGCTCATGTCACCCCCTGACTTTTTTGAACATGCAAACAGATTGTGATGCTCAACTTTTAGTTTAGCTTGGTTGCAATGTCCATTTATTCTGCTATATCACCTCTTACTCGTGCAATTCTTTTTGTGTATTCACAGATTAACCGTGCAAAAGTCATTTGCGAGTGTTTAATTGCATCTGAGGGCGTGAATTTAAAACTGGAGGAAGCTTTTTGCTTGGTCCTTCTTGGGCAGGTACCTTTATTCTTTTCAAATGCACATGTGCTCATCATCCTGTGTTCTAGAAAATGATAAGTATATTATTTTCTACAGCTTGATGAGGCAAGTGTTGCTGAAAGGCTTAAACAACTGCAGAACTGTAATGCAAGTTCAAGTGAAGTAAACCCCATTAAGGAAATGGTCAGTATTTTTAGTGTTTTTGCATGTGTTTTTCTTTAACACTATTTGTGTGGCTTATAGGATTACTTTTTGTTTCCCTGACTTTTTTAATGACAAACATATTTAATTTCTTAAACTTCAATACAGTCTTCATTCAATCAGTGACTTAGTTATAGCTTATATTACCTTATAACTCATCTACTACTCATCCTCTTAGGCTGGTTTTCATGCTTTTTTTTGGATGTTAAAACCCATGTTGTATCCTAGGTTGATGCTTTTTTCTAGGATAAGGATTTATTGACTCGAGGGATTAACACTCAATTTCTTAAACTTCAAAACAGTCTTCCTTCAATATGTGTGACTTAGATATAGCTTTCTTTAACTTCTATATTGTCTTCATTTAATCTTTGACTTAGTTATAGGCTTATAGCTTTTCGCCGTATAACTGAAGTAATGTCAAAGTGACAGGGTTTCATTCGTCAACCCGATTAGAAAGAGTAGTCCCAAATCTTACGATCTGAGTAGGATTGTAGGAAGAGTAGTCTAAAACCTTACAACCTGATTAGTAAGACTAGCTTAAAATCTTATTGAATAGTGAGTCTAGTGACATTAATTTATATCAATGAAGTGTGACCATAATTCAACATGTCACTCAACTCAAATTGGGTTTAACAAGTAGATAAATGGGCCATGTGGCGAGCATAGCGAATAACCCTAATATTCTCATGTGCCGCTGTTGAGTGCAAGATATACCGAAAGAGGAGATACAATTGATGGTGATGGCTTCATAAAGTGTCATTCAAGTTAGGTTTTCTCTAACGTGAACTACGAAGTCGAGAGCTAGGTTTTCTCTCGCGTGTCGAGAGCTAGGTTTTCTCTCGCCTGTCGAGAGCGGTGCAATGCTGCACTTTTGCGGATCAGTTTTTCTTTTGCATTTTGATCGAGTGCAGGTTCAAGAAAGGATAAACATAGCTTCTATGGATGATTTAGAGCAGTGTTGTCCCATTCCAGCAATTGAGGAGGAGGTCGAAGGGTTGGTTTTTGGCGGGTTAACATGAGTGGAGGGTGGTGGAAGTAGTGGAGGTGGCACGGGTGACGAGCAGACAAGGAGTGGTGAAGGGTTGAGCAAAGGAGAAGAAAGATTGGCGGTCCGCCCCCCTCTTGAACCGCTGCCTTGGAGCGATTAAGGTGTCAGAGTTTGGAAGATGATATTTCAAGAAAACTGTCAGAAAGGAGTTTGGAGTATTTATCAGTTATTTATTTTTTATGTTCTTATTTTCACGTTATGTTTGTTTACGTTGCTCTGTTTTTTGTTGATGTTTTTTAGTTTTAGAGTTACAATAATGATTGACAATTCCGCTAGATATTATGTCGTTAGAAGGATCTATATGGTCAATGAATGTTGTGTCACACATGTTTGGTAGTTAGCGATTCGTTTTGCTCTTTCAAGGGTGATCGTTTCTAAATCTGGTTGTAGGGTTGCTAATGCTAGTTGGTTACAGATAGTTGTTGTCAGTGTTTTTCATAAGCGGTTTTTCTTTTGAGTTTGTTGTAACGATCCGAATCCAAATGATTAACATAAGCGGTTTTTCCTTTCAAAAAGTAGATAAATGAGCCTCACCGACTTAAACAGTTGCTGCACAAACAAACCACAACCATATTTGGCTCTGACACCATATCAAGTGCCGGAGTTCCATCCTATATAGTGGTTTATAGGTGAGGACTAAGGAGAAGTTCAGGATCTTATATAATGGTCATTATTTTATACTGATATGATTAATCCGGTGTGAGAAATTTTTCAACAATAACTCTTCTACTCCTCCTCTATAGGCTAATTTTCATGCATACTTTGGATGCAACACTTATCACCTTAGATTTACTTGGGGTATTAAATCATTTCTCAAATCTAAATGTCTTCGCAAATTACAAGGAAACGTGGCTAAAGGATGCTGTGCTCAGTTTGTTTCCAGATACACGAGATTGTTCCCCATCTTTGGTAAGCCATATATTTCAGATTTTAACATAGAAGTATTAGTCTTGTTACTACTGAGGAAAGTAATATGCAGTTATTATCTAAACAGGCAAACTTCTTTCGCGGTGAAAAGCAAACTCCATACAAGGGAAACAAAAGGGCGTCACAGACTTCGTCTCACTTGAACCACAGACCAATTGCACCTGCCTTTTCACATGCTCGAAGAGCTTTAGGTGAAACTGTGCAGCGTGCTGACTTGTCAACACATCTTCGGCCAGCTGTTAAGCAGTTGGCTCCAACAAACTTACAAGACCCAGTGGTGATAGCGGATAAGGTCGAAAGTGGTACTAATGGCGGACCATCAGTACAACTTAAAAGGAATTTGGGCGCACGTCAACATGAAATTCTAAGTAATGCCATCTTGAAGATAACTGTTGTTGCTTGTTTTGGATGCATCCTGTTTGTCTCCTTCAAGATAATGAGCATAAGAAACAGAACCAGATTGAGGCTAAGCTCATCACCTAGGATGACAAACTCCACTTCCTTGATTTTAGATGGTTCTCAAGATCTAAGACCTAGATGGGCTAAGAGAAGCATTGTCCCCATAAAATTGAAGAAGCTGTTTTCAAATTTTGGATTACGGGTCAAGCAGAGCAAAGAAGATACTGGTATGGTAAATGGTTCTCAAGCGTCTGGTCTGTCATCTCCTGCGGAAGTAGCATACAAGATGGCAATGTCTTCTGAAGAAGCTGAGAGCCTGGTTAAGAAATGGCAAAGTATTAAAGCAGAGGCTGTTGGGCCTGATCATCACATTGATTTACTCTCTAATGTTCTTGATGAGACGATGCTTGTTCAGGTCAGCTGCATAGATTATTTTTAACCACTGTCTCTGTTCATATCCTTAGATTTTTTCAATTTCCCCATTCATTTATATTCAGTTTTTGCACTGTAGGATGATCTAGAGAATTAGTTTTACCTCGTGTGGCGACATGGGGGTCAAAATGAAAATAAAGAAACACAGGGGAGTAATTGATAGTATATGATTAGACATATTAACCACACTGTCTATGCGAGCTTGTGATATCTATTTGTGACAATTACTAGTATTGGAATATCTGTTCAGTTGAGTACAAAACAAGCTCTCACCAATCCATACATCAGCCGGTGCTAAAGTTGAGCTCTTGATCCATCAATTAATTCTTTTAAGTAGACAATATTACTTCAACCCGCTTTCTATGAGCATAATAACAAATTGGTGCTTGAAATCATGAAACTCAGGGCAGGAGTTTATGCCGTTGGTTTATTCTTTATTTTAATCTCTTCTTCACATGAACCAAATCTAAATTTGAACGTCTTAACTTTATATGAGAGGTTCAACTTATTGATTTCCTGCAACCATCTGCTTTAATTTTTCTCTTCTGAATTATATTGTAGTGGAAAGGTTTGGCTGATGCTGCGAAAGAAAAGTCATGCTTTTGGAGAATTGTTTTGCTGCAATTGTCAGTTCTACGAGCAGATATTTTAACAGATGAGACCGGAAATGAGATAGCAGAGATAGAGGCTCTCCTTGAAGAAGCAGCAGAACTTGTGGAAGATTCCTACCATACAAACCCCAACTACTACAGGTAATATTATGCGGAAAGATGTCTTCCATATACAATTATCAGGCTAGTTTGATCTGGTCTCCGACCTTCATGTTTCCACTTTTGGCATATGACTGTTATACTCTTGCTACTTTTGGTCCCTTGGATAAATTATCCATCCTGAATGCAGCCAGAAAATGTCACATGGAAGGAAATCATAATGTTATACTTTCCCTTCAATGATGGAATAGCCTTGCATTATCATCACCATCATCATCATGAATTCTACCTTAATGTTATTTTTATTGTCATTTATCACCACCATCATCATTGTTATTAATATTACTACTACTACAATTGGTAAAAGGGACCAAAAGTGGCAAACTCTTATGTGCAATGCAGTAAAAGAGAATGAAAAGTGAAACTCAGGTACCAAAAATGGAAGTAAATTAATAACTGTGGGACTTGTAACGGAAATAATTCTTCTTTGAGTAATTTCTATGAATATTGGAATTACAGTCTATGAGTAACTTTCTAGAATTTTGCCCCTTTGTTTACAGTTCTTACAAAATCCATTACACCCTGAAAAGACAAGAAGATGGTGGTTGGCGATTTTGTGAAGGCCATTTTGAGACTTCATGATTTTCTAACACACTAATACCCAGATAAATATAAATATATATATATATATATATATATATATATATATATATATATACATAGAGAGAGAGAGAGAGAGACTAACAACAGACATCAACCCAAGAGCTCAAGGTAGTGTAATAAGCTTTTCCATTTTCGTCCTTTGACAGCTTGCAAGGTGCATTACTTAGATTTATTATATGCATTGTTGTAGTAATGAAGTTGCTTAGCTCCGTTATTCCTAATCTTTTGACTGTAATATTCTAAGAGCTGTAAGGCTGTAACTCCTGTAAGATTATGTTATGGGTTTCATAGCTGTGCGAATTCGCTCATACCTCATAACTTGTGTGTGTGGTATGACTATATGATCACAAAAATGTTACAAAGTACTCCCTCCGTCCCATAAAATAAGTCCCATTTTCCTTTTTGGGCCGTCCCAAAAAATTGTTCTCATTTCCCTTTTTGGAAAGTTTTGTGTGGTTAACATTCATTTACCTTTTTCTTACTCAACCACAACCATACATTTCCACTTTATTCCCACTTTCTTAAACTCCGATCCAAGTCAAAGTGAGACTAATTTTCCGGGACGGAGGGAGTACATCTTTAGTCATCCCAACGCGCGCGCACACATGACGCATGCAATACACACACACACAGAGAAGTGATCTGGTCTGACCAGTGGTGCCGTGCGGACTTGCTCGTTTGAGGGTCTTTCCGGTGGACTTTTTTGATAATTTTTTTGAGCATGTTCCTCATCAAGTTTAGTTTATTCATACCAAATTTGAGCTCAAAATTCAATCAGGAAGGCAGTTAAATAAATTCTTGAAACATACTGCGCTTTATATATGTTCAGTATGTTTGAAGAATTTATTTAATTGTCTTCCCAGTTGAATTTTGAGCTGAAATTTAGTATGGATAAACTAGACTTGATGAGGAACATCATAAAAAAAATCATCAAAAACATCCACTAGAAAGGCCCTCAAACAGGCAAGTCCGCATGGCGCTTCTTATTAGGCATGGGTCGAGGAGGCACATTGGTCCATGGGCGGCCTCTACTTCAAGCACCACCGCCTTCAGAGCCAGACCCTCGAGGACTCTACTGAAGAGGAAGATAGCCGTTGTACCTGCCCTACCATCAACGCCATTATGATGTTGACCATGGGCGTCGGAGTTATTGCGTTTGGGGAGAGTAGCGACCAATGCTTGTTTCTAATTAACCATGATTATAATTTGTAGGTTTCGTATTTTTTGAAATTATGATTTGTGGGGCGGTGAAAATGAGCAATGAGCATTGATGGTGAAACTGAGCAATGAACACGACAACAAATATTGTTGAGTATGTGAGTTAACATGGCAATAGATAATGTCGAATATGGACAATGAATAAATGCATTGAGGGAGTGTTGTGCAACGATTCAATTGCAATAGCTAGTGTTAGACTTGGACTCGGGCCGGGTGGCCCGACCCGGAACCGGCCCGGGACCGGTACTGTTCCGGCCCGACCTGGTGGCCCGGTCAGTGACCGGTCCGGGTAGGCCCGACCCATGGATTTTCCGGTCCGGGCTCGGGTCACCCAAAACAAGGCTTGACTCGGCCGGGCCCGGTTCAGGCCAAAAACTATTTTTTTTTTCAATTTTTTTTAAATTTTCGGGTTGGGCTGGGTATTTTGGGCCATTTAGGGTGGTTTGGGGGGTTGGGGGTGGGAGGTAGGCATGGACCGGTTCCGGTTCGAGCCCGGTTCAGGCCTAGGCCCGGCCGGGCCTCAGTTCAAGAAGGGGAGGCTCGGAACCGGCCCGGGTAACCCCCCGGGTCTGGGCCGGGCCGGGCCTCGGTTCCTTTTTTTTTTTTGGCTTTTCCTAGTTAACCCCCAACCCTCCCCCTCACCCCCAAACCAACCCTAACCACCTCAAATGGCCCAAAATACCCAGCCCAGCCCAAAAACTTAAAAACAAAAAATTGGCCCGGCCCGGGCCTGAACCGGCCGGGCCGGTTCACCTTTTGAAGGGCCCGAGCCTGAACCGCCATCCCACCGGGCCGGTTGGCCCGGCCCAAGTCCACCCCTAGTGGGAGGGGGGTTAATTAGGAAGAGGAAAACAAAAAAAAAATGTTAATGGGCCCGAACCGGACCCGGTGGTTACCCGGGCCGGTCCCGAGTCCACCATTTCTGAATCGCCGGCCCGCCCGGGCCTAGGCCCGACCCGGACCTAGGCCCGACCCGGACCCGGCCCGGACCCGAGTCCATCCCTAGCAAGTGTTACGACATTGACGGGAAGTGAAGTAATTGTGACCAATCATGCAATAATGCATATAAAAATGACACCATTAAATGCAATATATTTAATTGCAAGTAAAATAATAAAATTATTAAATTTTTAAAAATAAATAAGAACTATAAATAAATTCCTAACGTTGACCGGAAGAAAATTAGTGTTGACGGAAGTGCAATAACTTTACCGGATGTGTAGTAATGTCATGGAGTAACTACAGTATAAAGTGCAGTATATTTTTAATTGGACAAAAGTAGTACAAAAAGCATATATTTTAAATAAGGGTGTTTTCGAGAAACTAAATATGTTAATGATATTAATTAACTAAATATAAACGTCCTTTTTTCTTTACAGTCTTACAAATGCCTTAAAACATAGTTAGTCATATTTAGACAAACTCAATATGTTAATAATATTAATTAGTTAATATCATTAATTAGCTCATGATAAAAATGAATTGTGTAGGTCTCGCTATGTCTCTTAGACACATGATACAACCCGTGCTTTGAATTAAATGGCTTAAATAAATTTTAGGACAGAATCAATTGTAGAATACGCAAAAATAACATAAAAGATAAAGAATCAATTGTGTTATTGTTATTGTTCCCAATTTACTTCCCCGATCTTCCACTAAGTTCGCTCGGGTCTACACAAGGACTAGGGGTGGAGTCGGTTCGGGCCACCCGGCCCGTGACCCGGCCCGGCCCGGTACTGTGCGGGCCCGGGACCGGCCCGGTTGGGCGGTCCGGGACCGGGCATGGGCCCGAACCGGTGGGAAGGGGCGGGGCGGGCTCGGTGTTGGAATAATGTGACCCGGCCCGGGTCCGGTCCTATTTTAAAAAAAAAAAAATTAAAATCTTGGGCTACTAGCCGTTGGGGGTGGGGCTGGGGACAACCCAAACGGCTATATAGCCGTTGGGTGGGGTAAAGGGGGGGTCCGGGGGGGTTGGCTGGTAGGGTGGGGGGTGGGGGGTAAAAAAACCTATAAATACTCCTAATCTTAAACATTTTTTTGTATCTCTTCTCCAATTCTTCCTAAATCCTATTCTTAACTCTCTACTCTCTAATTCTCTTATTCTCCAATATATTATATATCTACTCTAATTCTCTTCTCCAAGAAGTTAAGATGGAAAATCAAAATGCCATTATACGATATAATTTTGATAAGCAGAAGGACCCGAAGACCGGGATGTGGTACGCAATTTGCAAATGGTGCGAAAAAACATGTATCATGGGGGCTTCAGGCGGATTCGGGATGACAATCAAGCATATGAAGTCATGTGACAAAGCCAAAGGATCGGGCGGTGCGGGAAGTTCCGATTGATTACAATTTTCAAAATGTTTATCTCTTAAAGTTTGTTTTAATTTTCAAATGTAGTTCCTATTTCATTTCAAATAAATGCAATTGAAGTTTGTTTTTAATACTCGTATAAAACTATAAACTATAAAATATAAATTATATAAAAAAAAAATTAACCGGCCCGGCCCGAACCAGACCCGACCCGTGACCCGGGCGGGTGGCCCGGCCCGAACCCGTCCAACCCTTGGGCCGGTTCCGGGCCCACTTTTCTTGAACTGGCGGCCCGACGGGGCCTAGGCCCGGCCCGGGCCCGGGCCCGACCCGAATCCATCCCTGACAAGGACCCACCGTAATTTGCAGTAAGCTTGAAATTTGATTGTAGACAGTCATTTAAAAAGACAAGCATGTAGTTGATAGAGAACTTTTATAACAAAAGAAAAGTTAATTTAAAGCCATTTTCCAAAATAAATAAACTGACACTGTTTCCTACTATGCTCACCATCTTAAAAAGGTGGGTAAAATTTATGTTTCATTTTTCATATTTGATTCTTCAACATATAGATTTTGTTTCTATTTTTTTGCTTTTATTGGCAGTGAGAATTAGCAGATGAAACTGTTGAAGTGGTAATACTCCAGTTACAGAAAGCATTTCCAACAGAAAATGGAAAGCAACAGTGGTAGAACTTCTAACATAATGGTATATTTAAAACACATACGTAGTACATAATAGAATTCTAATAATAATAGTAGAAGCAGCAATAAAGATATGGGATGAGAAAGCATCTTTGGTGACCCATTTTTAGAACACAGGCCAAACAGAAAGATAGCATGGTCAGTTGCCAAAGACTAGAGTTGCGGCAAACAGGTACGGATGGCAAAAATGCTACAACAAACACTCACCAAAGTACCAAACATTCTGCTGAGTCTGGATTCACACAATTTTGCTTTGGTGACACAATCGCTCCAGCCACATTCCATCCCCCGTCGATACATCCAGAAGACCTGTCAATAGCCACTACTGTGCTCTTTTAAAAGTTTTGGATAAGCAACCAGATTTGCTGGAAAAAGTAGCCATAAATGGAAACAAAAAAACTGTACGAGAAGATTACAGCTAAACACAACCACATCACTGAAAAAAATAAAATGCAGCACGTAAAAAAAGGAGGAATCTTTGGCGCTTCAAGCGATTCCAAGTGGTGCATGGAAAATGACACAAGTATATTATGAAGAATGTGTACAAGTAGCATAAAATAAACACTGTAGTCACCAAGCAGTATGGTATTTCTCTTTTTTTCCTTCTAAATTCATACATGACAGAGCACTCTGCTCTATCTCTCCCCCCTCACTCTCACCCCTGCCAAAGAAAGAACGAAAAGTAAATTACCATGAACTTTCTCTTGTATAAATAATACTGCTGATCAGGAAAAAATAATACTGCTGCTTAGAACAGTCACAATGAACTCTCTCTTATATAAAGAAGTGGCAGAAAAAAATAGAGTGCTTATCTAAAGACTAAACCAATTCATTAAGTTCCAAGTCTCTACAAGAATTAAATTTACAATTTTTTCCCATACATTTATATTCATCTGTACTTGTCTGACATTCTGAATAATGGTACATGTTGGATCAACCTTCTCATCCTATCAATTTAAATTTTAAACTAGTAGTGGTGTTGTAAGAGGAGCTACAAGTGATTGATGCCTGCCTAGGGGCAAGAACACATAAATGATGTCTTTAACTCTTTATCTTCTGATAAATACTGACCAGATGGTTTTAGAATAGGCTACCCATAGCTCATTGACCT